GGTTGGGCTCCGCCCCTTAGTTCCAGTGAAGGGAACTCTTAAGGCATCAGCACACCAAGACATTTTGGACAATTTCATGCTCCCAACTTTGTGGGAGGAGTTTGGGGACGGCCCCTCCCTGTTCCAACATGACTGCGCACCAGTGCACAAAGCAAGGTTCATAAAGACATGGATGGGGGAGGAACGTGACTGGCCGCACAGAGTCCTGTCGGGGGGGGGTCAATGGCCCAAGACGTTGCGTGGAAACAGACCGCAGGAGATCCGCAACCAGGTACAAAAGGGGGCAATTCCAACAAAAGGGTAGTCAAGGTTCAGTCCGGGTCGGGGCAGGCGGCTAGGATCAAGAGCGGGAGGACAGGCCAAGGGGGTCAATGACCAGGAGTTCAGATGAGAGGTCAGGAAGCGGCAGCAACATGCGATACAAGAGGCTCGGTGATGGCACCATATAGGCAGAATAACTCGGCAACAAGCCAGGGCTCTGGCTGGAATATATACCCAGCGGGGACCAGGACCGCCCCCGGTCGCCCAGACAACCAGGAGGCCTCCCTGTCCAGGAGCCAATGGCAGGAGGTAAAAACGGAAGTGGTATGCCAGGAACCTCCCCCACACCTGACAACACTAATGGCCGCGGGCATGCGCACCCTGTCAACAGGAGTCCAGCCAAGCCGAAGAAGGAGACCCCGTGCACTACACCGTACCTGGCCGCCCCGGGGTGAGGTGGTACCCCTGGTTCCCTGACAGAACCCCCCACCAAGGAGCGGCCTCCGGACGCCAACCTGGGAAGGCCTGTCGGGATGAGCCCGATGGAACGCACGGAACTTGGCCGCCGCATGGACATTAGCCGAAGGCTCCCAGGAACGTTCCTCGTGACCGTAACCTTTCCAAGAAGCCTTCTGCGGGAATCGAGGATCTCCTGGACTTCGTATTCGTCATCTACCCGTATGGGGGGAGGAGGTACCGGAAGCCTACCTGCGTAGGGATTGGCATGCTGAGGCTGTAACAAGGAGACGGGGGGAACACCGGGTGGATACCGAGGGACGCAGGCAACTGTAGTCTGGCAGCTACATCATTGACCATCTTGCTGTTCGTGAAGGGTCCAAGGTAGCGGGGACCCAGTTTCTTGGTAGGGCTGGATAGGCGGAGGTGTGGTGTAGAGAGCCATACCTCATCCCCTTCTTTGTACCCGGGGAATCCCTGCGGTCTTCTGCTGATGTTGCGTGATCTGGAGCTGGTGTATCGGGGTACGCAACAACCCACGGAGGTGACGAAGTGGTTTGGGCAACATCAGGTACCGGATTGTCAGGGTGGAAGGTCCGGGAGATTCAACGGGTGGTAGCCATAGTTGGCATAGAAGGGACAAAGCCCCGTGGAAGCGTGCTGCTGGTTGTTGTAGGCATACTCTGCCAGAGGAAGATGGTCCACCCAGTCGTCCTGCAGATGGGAGGAATAACATCGGCGGTATTACTCGAGGGTTACTGGACAGAAAAATGAGAAGTGAACTGGGAGCCTCTGTCCGAGACGATGGAATTGGGAAGGCCGTGTAACCAGAATATGTGCTGGAGGAAGAGCTGTGAGGTGTGCTGGGCCGTCGGGAGGCCAGAGGTTGGTATGAAATGTGCCATCTTCCTGCATCGGTCTACCACCAACACTGTGATCGTGGTGCAGTTTTGCGGGGGAGGCAATTCAACGATGAAGTCCATAGCAAGGTCCCTCCACGGATGGGTCGGCACAGGTAGGGGTTGCAGCAATCCGGTGGACCTACCGTATGGAGTGTACAGATCGAGCAGGACTCGACAAAGGAGCGTACGTCCGACGCCATGGAGGGCCACCAGAACTGGCGTTGAACGCACTCCAAGGTGTTGCGTATTCCCCGTAGGGTGGTCATGATGGTGTTGGAGTACGGGCACCCGCTGAGAGGTGGGTTCATAGATCTGATGCTGGTGGTGGCAAAGGCCCTGCCTCAGCCGAAGATGGGCTGCCTCCCCCGGGGCAGGCGTACTGGCCCATTTGATCTCTTCGCTCAGGGAATGCCGGGTGGCTAGGAAGTACGTGGCTGGCAAGATGGGTTCCGGGGGGGTGTAGGGTTGGTCTCGGAGGTGTGCGTACGGGATAGGTTGTCTGCCTTCCCGTTTTTTGAACCCGGTCTGTAGGTTGAAGCGAGAGAAGAGCCCACCTGGCTGGCAGGGGCCGTAGCCTCTTGGCGTTGCGTGGGTACTCTAGGTTCCGATGGTCGGTGTTTGGCACCCTCCAGCAGGTGTCTCCACTCTTCTGGAGCACTCTTGATGGCGAGCAATTCCCTCTCCCCTACATCGTAGTTCCGTTCGGCACTGGTAAGTTTACTGGAGTAAAATGCAACGGGATGCAGCAGTTGTGTCTCTCCTTGCTTGTGGGAAAAGATGTCTCCGTTGGCACCCTCAGAGGCGTCGGTCTCCAGGTGGATGGGGAGAGAGGTATCTGGTTGGGCCAGGACCGGGGGCCTGAGTGAACAGTCTCTGGAGGTGCCGGAACGCCTTGTGTGCCGCTGGAGTCCATACGAAAAAGGGACGTTACTCATGGTCAGGGCGGTGATAGGGGAGCAGATCGCAGAGGAATTACGGATAAACCGGCGGTAGAAATTGGCGAAGCCAATGAGTTGTTGGATCACGTTATGAGACGTTTCTCGGGGCTGCGGTTCCTCTGAGCTCCACAGGGTGGTGATCTCACCTATTCCCAGACAGGAAGTCTCTATGACACAGACAGGAAGTGATGTCAGGTATAAAGAGGAAGTTCCGGGTGAGAGGTGAGTCGGGAGGAAGTAGAGAGGAGACATTGCTGGAAGTGGCAGCAGAGGAGGTAATAAGATAATAATTGATCTCTATACGAAGTAGACCGGTGGCAGGGGGGGAGGGGTCGCAGATATACCGGAAATGCACCGAGTATTGATATGAAATCTATAGATGGCTCACATGAGGTCTGATGATGCCGGATAGGACATTGGTGACCACTGCCCGGTCCCCGAGGAAAGCCGGTTGATGATCACACCGATATACTGGACGTGGCCGGCGAGAGCGGGGGAGGGGGAGGACACGTCTCCATTCTGGAAGTTCTATTATACTGGGGGGTCTCCATCTTCTCAACAATACATTTATTAGCTTCCGCAATCCTAAGGTGGACGAGTTGGTGGAAGGAGGGAGGACATGAACCCCAATCGGGGAAAAGTCCTCTGAGACCTTTTTATTGATGAAGGTCAATAAGATCTGATGAGTCGCCCCTACGAGGGGGGAACAGAGGGGCAAACAAAGTACCTGGAGGGTGTTATTGATCCTTCATCAGTCGGGGGAGCACATCCTATGACATCACACTGACCTCACATCTCCCCCCAATGCCCTCCATCCAGAGTCACCCCATCCTATGACATCACACTGACCTCACATCTCCTCCCCAATACCCCTCCATATGGGGTCAGTACAACCTGTGATATCAATGTTATCTGTCCACAGGGAGACCTCCATAGATGACTGCACCAATGATGGAGGAGGACCGGAGTCACATGACCGAGAAGATACTAAACCTCACCCTGGAGATCATCTACCTGCTGACCGGAGAGGTGAGGAGGATTCTGGGAGGTCACATGACCTGACATGTGAGGAGGATTCTGGGAGTCTAACATGATCTTCCTATTGGTTTCTCCATCCAGGGTTTTCCTTTTCTGAAGTCCGGTGGTCATGTGACCATCACAGTGCCTCCATGTGACTCCCTAAAACCCGAGAGACCCAACATGGAGAAGGTTCTAGAAGTCACCAAGAAGATGATGGAGCTGCTGACGGGAGAGGTGAGCGGTGCCGGGAATTCTGGGACATGATCCAGGAACAGACAAGGGGTGTGTCTGGGTGGTGACGGGAGAGGTGAGCGGTGCCGGGAATTCTGGGACATGATCCAGGAACAGACAAGGGGTGTGTCTGGGTGGTGACGGGAGAGGTGAGCGGTGCCGGGAATTCTGGGACATGATCCAGGAACAGACAAGGGGCGTGTCTGGGTGGTGACGGGAGAGGTGGGCGGTGCTGGGGATTCTGGGACATGATCCAGGAACAGACAAGGGGTGTGTCTGGGTGGTGACGGGAGAGGTGAGCGGTGCCGGGAATTCTGGGACATGATCCAGGAACAGACAAGGGGCGTGTCTGGGTGGTGACGGTATCATTGTGTGTGTCAGGAGGTCTCTGTTTCTTCTTCTAGGGTGGGGGGTGTTCAGAAGACAAGAATGACTCGTATAAGAATGTAAAGACGAAGAGACGTAAAACCTTCACATCACCGGGTAAGAGGAGAGAGCAGTACGGAGGCTCCGCCTACATCCCGCATCATCTGATACACACATAGAAACAATGTATTCAGTCAGTGTGTGTGTTTCCTACAGATGGATCCAGTAAGAGGAACCCACCAGAGAGATGTCCCCGCCCCCTGTATTCCCGGGACTCCACCCAGGAACATCTCACCATCCCCCACCATGAGAGATGTCCCCGCCCCCTGTATTCCCGGGACTCCACCCAGGAAGGTCTCACCATCCCCCACCATGATCAGGTAGGTTGAGATGATGGTGGGACCCTACAATGTTCCATGTGATCAATTCTTACACTGTAATGATGGTTTTCTTTCTCGTTCATTGAGGGACACAGGAAACAGTTGGGTTATACTGCCACCTACAGGAGGTTTGGAAAAAACCTGTAACCCCTCCTATAACCAGCGTGCCATGGTTTTTTCTGGTGTCATAGGAGGTTGGACATCTTTTCCTTCAGCTCTGGTGACTCCAATCGAGATTCTTTGCAGACACCGCTTGACTTGGCCTGTAGCTGGATTCCCATTAGAAGGATTCCTCCATCGCTGGGGTTGGTTCCCATTTCTTGGAGCAAATGTCTGGAGCCTTGTGCTTGATGCTGTGATGAATTTTGGGGAGCAAACATTTAAACGTGCGTCACCCATGAGACTGATGTCCGTGCCGATGCAGAGAGCCCTCTGGTTGCGTGGCTGGGACGTCGGTGAGGCATCCATGTAAGACCTGACTTGATTGACCTTCACAGGATGTCGTCTCTTTAGACCTGCCCGGGAAACCCTGATCAGCAATGCCACAGGAGGCCAGTGTGCTCCGGCCTTCCCGCCTCAGCACAGGAGTTCTGTGGAGGGGCAGAAGAATCCCACCCGCAGTAGGTGCTTGTAGGCCTTCAGAGCTATCACTCAGGTAGCCCTTGGAGTTTGAAGTCAGATGTTGGCTAACTCCCTTGAGAACTCTTCTAAGAGTAGGGGGCCCTTTGTAAATCCAGAGGGGGTCATGAGTTGTTTGCCCCCCCCCCCCAGCTTTTTGGGAGCCTAGGGCACCTATTTTAACCCGCAGGCTAACCCCAGGTACCTGCAGCTTCTTAAGATGTTCCTCATCACCCTTCTCGTGCTTCTACACAAAATATTCCACCTTCCCAGGTCCTCCTGGGTTCCACTCACCCTGGGACATCTTGCCCCTGTACAATTTTGGTGCTCGTCTTCTGGAGTGGTTCCCCATCTGGACTCCCACTGCCTTCTTTTGGAAAACTCGGTATCGCTGGGTACTGTAAAACCCTTTGTAGTACCTGGTATCCCTCAACGTCCCTCCTTTCTATAGAAGGTCCCTGATCTACAAGGTCAGCTGGGACCAGTTTCTGCTGCTCCCTTCCATAACAAGGACCTGGCCCTTCAGTGTCCTTTTGCTACTTCTGGAGCACTGGACCTGCTGGCCACCCTAATTCCCCTTCTTGGCATTCCCATTGTTGAATGCTCAGATGTCCTGCCTGAGGAGGGTTGGCTTTTAGTCAAAACCCTTATGAAGGCCCTTACACCTGCAAGCCTTCACCAGATAGGGCCCCCGGATATGGCTGCCATTCAACCAGATAGGGGGCCCCACAGGTGGCTGTCATTGGTAACTACAGTACAGGACACCACTGGGTTAGGCCGTTCAACTTAAATTCTTGTTCACAAACACATATCCACCCCGTGTGTCAGAGGACCACGAGTTCTCCGTCTGGGAATGTCTCCATTCTTTCCCATCAGTTGTATGTGAGACATGAAGGAGACAAATGGCCCCATCGTTCATTAGCTCTCAGTGCCTTCGGACCCATCTGCCTTTCCTGAGGGCCTGGGCTCAGGGTGAGACACGTAGATGGTCTCTAGGGACTAGGAAGTCCTCGGCCTGTCCTGTTTTCTTTGGCCCTGGAAGGACCCCATTTGCTGTATGTCCACATACGTCTGGTTCCTCAGGGCAGACGGTCTCCTTCTCATCGGAGGCTCTTCCTTTGCGTTGGGGACAGTCAGAAATCATTGCCGGAGGAGCTCTGGATTCCCCTGGATTGCTAGCAGGCAGAACATACCGAGTTCCTGTTGTGGACAGAGTTCATGTGGAGGTCTTCATGGGACCTGATCAGCCTCAGAAGGACCACTCATCTCCAGCTCTTTGGAGGACGTTTCTCCAGAATCCTTCCTTTGATCCGGTGGATATTTTTAGCGGTGTGCCGAAGGTTCCCGTCACTCACTCCACAATGACTGTGCTGGACTGTAGCAGGTCAAGAGATTGCGAGAATCCTGAGGTTAGGCCGGTCCTACAGAGTTCATCTGTCAGCCCCCAGAGAACACTTTTGGATGGTTTTGCCTATCCTCTTGTTCTCGGTTACGGTATACCGTTCCTCTCTGCCTTCCTTTTGTTGGCGTCCTTCCTCTGCACCTCACCCCTCTCTCTGTTGGGTCAGGCTGACTTTAGAGTTGGTACCTCTGTGTTCTCTACCGGCCTCAGAAGTTTCATAGCTCTTCTTTATGGGATACTATGTGATGATTGGATATCTTCTTTCCATGATTGGTTGTCTGGCCAAAGGTTTTGGGACCTTCCCGGAATCCTAATGTTTTCCAGTGTGAGGCTTGGCCTTCACGTGTAGAGCGGCTGGTCTTTTCTTGTGGTCTCCTGGTGACCTGTTCTGGGGACTTGTCCAGTGTTTTTCTTTCTGTTGATGGAAAAAAATAGACCAATATGATATCTTAGGTAGTCATGTGGTTCCACTTATTTTGGTGGTTTTGGGTTCCTCAGCGTCTCGCTGGTTCAGGCTCTGTTGTCCTTCAGGTGGAGATATTGAGGGTCTCTTCTGTCCAGGTCTTATCAGAAGTATTCTCTGTGGCCCTCCCTTGGTGTTGGCAGCTTCCTCTGCTTTTGAAGGGGGGTGTCCTCTCATCTGGTTCAGATTTGGGCATTGGTCCTTAAGGTAGTTCTGAGTTGCAGAGAGTTTCCAGTCCCTTTTGGGCCCGTCCTTGACTGTATCTGAATCCCTCAATGGACGAGAAGGAAAATGTTATTTTGGTAGTTATGGTCAAATCCACTATGGGGAGTCCATTGAGGGACACAGGCCCCGCCCCTTTGTGCGAGTTTTGCTCTGGGTACTGAGGCATGTTGGGTAGAGGAGGAGTTATAGGCGGCTGGATTACAATGTTTCTGTTTCCCAATGTCCTAACCCGACTGTTTCTGAATTCCTGTGTCCCACGAGGGGCTCCACGAGACACGTTTTACGGCAAGTACAAGAATCCGATTTCCCTCATGATTCAGGGAGAAGATCTGATCATCATTAAAGTGGAGGATGAAGGGGAGGAGACGTACGAGAGGGATGGTCAGCAATATACGGAGGAGGAGGCCGGAATGATGAGGACATCCATAGAGGAGGATGGAACATCGAGGACGCTCATGGAGGAGGACACTCCTACAGAGATCAGCACAGGTGACCCACAATATATCCTTCTGTTCCTGCACACTGATTGGTCCAGAGTAGGGCGGAGCTGAGTGATATCAGCCAATAATAGGTTGGTGATGGTCGCCTCCCTCTACTGATACAGAAAAACAAAATCATAAGCGCACAACTGATACTGGGTCACGGGATAAACCACGGGCTGTAAATTATGGTGTGCCGGCTCTGAATGACAGGGGGAGGACCCTGCAAGATCAATACTAAGGCACTGGGTCATGTGATCTGAGGAACAAAGTTCTGACCCGCTAGAACCTTCAGCAGAGAAGAAGTGACCAGAGGCCGAGGCTTCTGGAACTGGGAGAGGAACCCAACCAGCTGAACCCCAGGACGGAGGCCGAGGCTCCTGGAACTGCGAGAGGTATATAAAAAAAATGATTAAAAACGATTTTAATACATAAGTTTACAGCAGATTTTGATACATCGGTTTAAAACAAAGGGGGGGATGAGCCTAATTAGACGCGTGCGATTAGTTTCGTTCCGAATTACAGACATAACGAATCCGAATTTCCGTTTCCGAAGTTCGGTGGCGTTAGTTCGAACGTTCGTTTCGTTTTCTGTTCTTATTCGTTTCGTTCGTTGGAGCAAAGTGACATCAGAGAAGGAGAAAAATATTTTCCCCCCCAAATGTCACTTTTGCTGCAAACGAACGAAACGAATAAGAACAGAAAACGAAACGAACGTTCGTACTACCGCTACCGAATTTCGTCCGAATTGACTTTCTCACCCGAATCCCGAAAAACAAAATAACACGAAATCCGAATTTAAAACGAAACGAATGTTTTGGCAGTGCGCATGTCTAAGCCTAAGCGATTCATTTACACGGCTTATCCTTTGATAATAGAGCTTAGGTTTCAACGAGCATTTCTTTCCTGATTTTGGTATAAATGTTACTTACAAGTGGAATAGGAATGTGTTTTACTTTTGGCGTATACCACCAGCATGCCACCAAGAGGGTGAGGATCTTATAACAACAAAAAATTTAAAAGGAGAACTACGAGGTCAGGGCTTTTCCCCATAGTCCTCCTCAGGGACGGGGGGGGGGACACAAACTAGCGTCCTCCCGTCACCCTAAGCTCAGTATATAGGGAGCTACAGCTCGCGGTATACTGAGACCGCCGCAGCCGGGACATTACTGTCTGGATCCGCCCAGCTGCGTGAGTGACAGCTGGCTCCGCCTATCTAGAGCCAGCTGTACCCGCCCCCTCCCCCGTCCGTTCCACCAGTCAGCGCTGGAGGATCGGAGCGGGGAA